TCTTTTTTTTTTTTTCTTTTGGAATTCGGTATAGACCGTTTCTTGTCTTCAATATCATATTCAACACCCCTTCAGTCTTATATTATATCCAGTGCTGTAAATTAGCCAAGTGGTGTTCAAGTAAAATATTATTTACTAAATATTGCCTAATGGTTGCAGGGTTTTGATGTGAAGCTTATTGATGTCAATCGGACCTGTAAAGTGACTAAGGTATAATGTAGCTTCCACGTTTACTTCTTATTGGTCAATCTTGTTCGCTATCATGACTGATTATTATCCATAAAATTAAACAGGGTGGACAAGTTGTGAAGTATACTGCCATGTTAGCTTGTGGAAATTATCACGGTGTTATTGGTTTTGCCAAAGCAAAGGGCCCAGCAATTCCAGCTGCCCTTCAAAAGGTAAATCTCTAGAGTTCATTTCTGATAAATGTCTTTATGTGGCTTCTTCTCTTCGTTTTTTTTTCCCAGTCTTTTCCCTTTGGAACTTATTGGATGATAGGTGATACTGTCACAGATGCATTGAACTTTGTATTTTTATTTAATTAACCTTGTTATGAAGTCGGAATTTTCTGTAAGTTGTAAAATTGATACAAGTCATAACCTTGCAACTCGTTGAAAGTTTTACAGCTAAAGAAACACTTAACTTTAATTTACGTCCTGTAAATATATAACTGCGTCTCGAAATCCATGTCATTTGTGCAAGAAAATGTGGTATCAAGGTCTTAAATGCAAATGCATTTGCTTATATGTTAGCATGCTGTACGGGTCTATTGCTGCAGGCATATGAGAAATGCTTTCAAAATCTCCATTATGTAGAGCGACATGAGGAACACACAATTGCTCATGCAATTCAGACATCGTACAAAAAGACCAAGGTTTCTAACAAATTTCGTTTTGTTATATGTTTGATCAATTTGTATATATATGTTTGACTTGAACTTTTGGTATGCTTTTTAGATTTATCTTTGGCCAGCTTCTACTCAAACAGGGATGAAGGCAGGTAGAACGGTCCAAACGATATTAAGTTTAGCTGGATTCAAGAATGTGAAATCCAAGGTATAAAATATATAGGAAAATGCTACATGTACATAATAAATGTACATAGAGATGTACATAACACTCACATGAAGTGAGGTCCACTTGATTTTTTAATTTTGGTGGGACCCATTCAATGTGAGTGTTATGTACACCTCTATGTACACTGTTATGTACATATAGCATTACTCAAATATATACCACCAAATTTTTTTTTTATTATTTTTTTTTTCCAGTTGTGTTCTAATGGGAATACATTTGTAGGTTGTTGGATCGAGAAATCCTCATAACACAGTCAAGGCTGTGTTCAAGGCTCTCAACGCAGTAAATAAGAGCATTTACTCTCATTACTGTCATTGCTTTCTATTTTTTCTCCATTTAACCACCATTTTTTTTTTTTTGGTTATCTGCAGATTGAAACTCCGAAAGATGTTCAAGAAAAGTTCGGCAGAACTGTAGTCGAGTCGTACTTGCTGTGATAGGGTACTGAGTTAGATCTGTAACTTCGTCTTTTCTTTTGTTTCTTTTTACCTTCTGTTTTCCTTTGCCTTGAAAGTTGATGCATAATTGCAAAGAAGTGAAAAGTGAAAACACAATTTGTATAATTTGGTTGTTTTTAGTTGGGTTTTGCAAGTGTTTTACTTTTACATAATTTGTCATGTTGAATTCTTTGATTAAAGAATGATGTTGGTCACGCATAAAATAGATAAATAAATAAATCAAACACTTTCAGAATTAATGCACCACAAGTGGATCTTTTTATATATTGGTATCAATCTATAAAAATCAAATACAAATTTAGGGTAATGCTATATGTATACATAGATGTGTACATAATACTCACATTAAGTGAGACTCACTAAAATTAAAAAACCAAGTGGATCTCGCTTCATGTGAGTGTTATGTACATCTTTTCAACTATCAAATATATTTTGCTGACACATGCCAAGAATTTATCTTTTCGACTATCAAATTTTAAATAATTTTCCTTTCATATTATATAACTGTGCATATATATGTTATGCTCAGCTCGTCTCGTTAAAATTCGAATGCTTATATAAGCTCGTTTAATATCGATAAAGGCTCGAGTCTGAACTTGAATATCCAAAACACGGTTTGACTCGTTCACATCTCTAACTCCTGATTGCTCCCAACATTAATCTCTAATTGAAGAACATAAATGAACTCATCCACATCTTTTAATTAATAAATATTTGCAAAAAAAAAAGCTAATTAATAATACATAAATGCATTTTTCATGCTAAGAGATAATATAAAATGCAAACTAAAAGTTGATAGACTAAATAGTGTCTCCAAGCTCCCCCTTGAAGCTGAAAAAAACCACTTCTTTTCAAATGGGTTTTTTTCATAAATGGAAAACACCAAGATGTAAAATTGATCTCTCTAAAAAGCTACATATATGTAAACTCCTCTTTCAGTTCTTACACTAATTTGTACTTAGGTAGAGTAACATATATGTAAAAAGAACCTCTAATCAACATTTTTTTTTCCCCTTCAAAGAGTTAACTTCGTTCATCGACATTGGAACTATTGAAACTCGACGCGAGAGCAGGCTCGAAAAAACCATATCAATTAAACACCATATCAAGAAGCCGAAAAACCAGTGGTTTTTACTGCTCGTAAAACATCGGTTGTTGTTGTAATGATTCGTCTGATATCCTGCCACAAATTAAAAAATATATGAATTTAATTCATCGTGCGACAATTTTTCAAAGAAACATGTCGAGCAAATCGGAGGGGGAAAAAAAAGAAACGTACCATGTGGCGTATAGCCATATCGAGCGACCTATTCGAGAGGGACCTCCCGAAAGCCGAGGACTCGGTAAAACATTTTTTCTTGGCTCGGTTATCGAGAGAACCGAAGCCTTCTCCTCCTCCTCTTGGGGGAGGAGCCAACTTCCTCATATTCACCAACCTCTCCACCATTTTCGTGCCCATGACCACTGGGCTGGCATCATCATCATCGTCATGGGCCACACACGACTTTCGCCTTCCGGGCAGGGGCATTTTTGTAATTTGAGTCGAGGATCTTCTTGTTCGGGGTTTGATGGAAGAAGAAGTTGTTGCTGATGATGTGGCCTTCGGAGGTGCTGAGGTGGCGACGGCACCGGGAGGATTTGATTTTGTTGGCCGTCTTTCGGTTGGTGTCGATTTTTGCTCCCCGGTAGGTGAGGGC